TGCTCCCCAGAGACCCGTGAGCTCCCGTCCCAGGATGCCCAGCCACGCACGCTCAGTGCTCAGCACACCAAGTGCTTCTCTCCTGCTACGAAACAGAAAGGCGAGAAGTCAACTAGCTGTAATCTGTTGTCTGAAACCAGCCCAGCGGTAAGCACCAGTGGATTTTAATTAAGGAAGGAGCTGCCTCAACAACAGCGTGGTCACCGGGCTGAGCAATCAGCCTGCGTTAGCTCGCATGCCTTGCACGGCACCCCAGAGGCAGGTTCACGCGTCCACGCCATGCGTGGCCCATCTATGGAAAAGTATCTCTCTGGAGGAAAAGAGAGCCCTCACTCACCCCCAAGGACCAGGTCTGAGGGCTCAAGGAACGAGCAGGGATCTGGCCTGGCCACGCCTCCTGTGGGGCGTCCCTGCCTCGCCAGGGGTGGCCAGTCCTGCCTGGTGAGGGTGCGCAGCGGCCCCTGGGACCCCGCTCCTTCCCGGCAGGTCTCTCCCTCTCCACCAGCACCGATGCTGTTGCCTACGAACAGAGAATGCCTCAGCCTTTACACCCAGAGCAACACAGCAAGCCGAGGGACACCAATTCCCACCACCCTCCTGACCCTGCCCTCTCCAGGGTCCCCTACCGCCCAGCCACCCAGGCAGTGTCCTGAGCACTCAGCCCTCCCACCCCAACCTCCCTCCGCGATGTGCCGGGTGCTGAGGCCCCTCTGCGGGCTCTCGGGCCCCGAAGTCGGCCTGTCTCCTGGCGCTCTGGAGCTGGAACTCGTCACAGCCTCCTGCCGGCAGACGCCAGCCTGACCACCGGCAGCGAGCCCACGCCCACCCTAACCCTAACGCGCGGGACCCCGGCCGGATGAGTCCGTGGTCCGCTCCCAACAGCCACACCAGTTGCGCTGGTTCTTGTCACTGCAGAATTTAATTAAAGCTTATGAAAACTTACTAAGTATGAGTCTGAAAGGAAGATCTGCTGTTCTATTAAAACTAGGTTGAAATGCTTTGGAACAATTTGGTAGAGGTGAGCTGCTAAAACAAAGTCTGTAGAAACAGGTGTGGGCGAGCCACCTGTAGATCCGTTGGGGAAGAATCCTGTCTTCCCACTGGTTTTTACGCTTTAAAAAAAAAAAACCTAAAAAATGAGCTCCTTCTTATAAAAGAATTTGAGCTCTAATGAAAAGCATAACTTCTATGACATCCAACTTTCCTTTAATATGAAAGTTAGAATAACGGCTTCGTTTCAATGTGCCAACGGCAAACAGATTTCACAAATATGTTCAGGCCGGCTTAGACAGGCTTCCCGGCGTCACAGAACTCCTTGGAAGTCTCTCCGGAGCAACCCCTTCTGGGATCATCTACACAACAGTAGATTAAGTTGCACGTAAGGACCACGAGAATATATTCATGAATAAGCACGCCCGGGGCTCCCAAATGAAAGCCTGTACACCGAGGCCCGTTCACAAAGAGCAACGTCCCGCTCTGAGCCCCGCGGGCCCCAATCGCCCCGCTGCCGCCGCCTGTCTGACCCACACTACAAATAAGTCTCCCGGTGTTGTCTACACTCGCGCCACCTTCTCTCTGCTGGTGTCACGCGCACAAGTCTAAGGGAGAATAAACAAACACCTGCACATGCACCTCCAGCTGAAGACACAGAACACCACGGGGACTGGGGAGCCCACTCCCCCACCCTCGTGTCACAGGACCCTCCAACAGTGCTCTGTGTGGCTTTGGAGACCTGAGAAGCAAGAACTGCTCCAGCTGTGCAAGGACCGGGCAAGGCTGCCCCTGTAAGTGGGGTCCTGGGAAAGGGAGGGCGACCAGCCTCGGGGCCAGCCCCCGTGCCTCCCACCCAGACTACCGAGATACCTGCCGAACGCTCCTCCACCTCCTCGTCTGTCCCCACAGTCGACGTTCGGCCTGGCAGGCAGCACGGCCCTCTTAACCCGTAACTGAGACCACACTGCTCTCCAAGCGCGGCAGGTGCCACGGCCTCGCCAGGAGTCAGCCCTGGCCTCCACCTGCTCTCAGCTCACCTCCGGCCCTACCCGTGCCTGCCCTGTCGTGTCTTGCCACGCTGGCCACATTGGGCTCTCCGCGGTCCCGGAACAACATGCCCAGCTGCCCCGACTTACTCAGAACCACTGCGCCTGCTCCCCGGCCGGAGGGAGGCTTCTCCCACCGCCTGGGCACCTGAGAGCTCTCCCCACAGGACAGCTCCCGCCCCGCAGCCTTTTCTCCCCAGCCCCAGGTGTCCTGTTACCTATGTGTTTATCACCTGCCCCCAGAAGGATGAAAGCTCCTTGAGGGCAGGGCTTGGCTTCCCTCCCGGGAGCAGCCCAGGGCTACCGCAGCGCCTGGCACAGGCCACACCTGCCCAGTGATGGACGCGCAGTGAAGCATCGAGATGACAGTGTCTTGGGGTGGGGGCTCTGTCAGGCCAAGCTGAGCAGCAAGTGTTTGCGGTATACTGTCACTCCTAGTAGCTCTGAGCTCCCAAGACACCTGACTGTATCTCCCAGAGAGAACTCTCCGATTATAATAAAAGGCAAAAATTCTTTTATCAGCAGGTTTCCCGTCTGTGCCTTGCGGGTTGGGGCTTTGATGAATTCTCCATCCTGAGGGATTGTTCACTGGGCAAATACCGATTGAGCACATAACACCGAGAATTTCTAATTCAGACAGATCCTCTGCAGAAAGGACACAGGAAGAACCAGCACCGAAACAGGCTTTCGGATCATAAAGAGAAACAGAGGGGCCTTCCATTTCCAGCACCACGGTAGCACTGATGTCCTGAAAAGCCTCTTGATACAGAATCTCTAGAAATGCTTTCAAATGCATTGCTGAGCTCGGTAGAAATCACAGGGGGCTAAAAATGGAGAGTGCGCTGAAAATCAGAGTGGCTGGCTGAAGCCACAGCTGCCCTGGGGACATTCTAAGAGCTGCCGAGGAGCCAGAAGACAAAGCCTGGTGTCCCTGCGAGGGCCGCACCCTCGGGGAAGGGTAGGCAGAACAGGCTCCGCTGGAGCTCGTGACCAGAGCCCGTCCCCACACGGGACCGGGGCTCAGACCCACACCACCTCCAGGGCCCGGAACACCGCGCGCAACAAAGGCGCCGCAAACCCCTGCCCCCCGGGGGTCCGAGGGCCTGGCAGCGGCAAACAGTCCTTCTTCCCGGTGGGGCTGTCCGTGAGCAAAGAATGTGGACGCCCAGTTAAACACAGCACTTGGGCGCACTCATGCAGAAACAGCGTCTGTCTGTCAGCGGCGTCTGTGTTTTCCGTGGAGCCCCCCCAGCAGGGGCTCGCTCTCGCCAGACGCCCAGGGACAAGCTCCGAAGGCAGGAGCACAGCCCCGGGTGAGAGCAAGGAACAGCGACAAGATCAGACAGACACTGCTGGATACGGAATGAAAGTAACCACGGTCACGACGTTTAACCCCCCAGTGCGGCGGGCCGAAATGTCGGCTTTTGCATCTAGGGCGAAAAGTGTGGCGTGCCGATATATCCTCCTCCGCAGGAGCCGATATATCGGCCCGCCGCACTAAGAGGGTTAGAGAGAGAGAAGCGAGGGTAACCATGGCATAAGCAAGGAGTAGGATCCTAACAGCAAGAGTCAGAAAGCACTGGCATAGATAAAAAGAAACTCCGAGTCTATTCCTATCTTGCTAAACTACAAAACACCAAAGACAGAAATATGAGGAAAATATTAAAAGAGAAAAGGAGACTAAAATACTCAATTAAAACAAAGTTGAAGCACTACTCCTTTTCCAAGAATCAGAAGTACCACCTGACAGCTTCCAGCCACAAACACGGACAAGTTCAACAGCGGCCACAGGACACGCACACCGCATAACGACACGGCCACGCCTGGAACACGCGGACCGCCGCCGCTTCCACGCCTCTGTGTGAGCACAGCACCGTGCATCTCGGGTTCTCACGAAATTATAATGCATGTTTTTAGTCATTTTATTACCTTTGTAACATTAAATGGGATTACATAAACTTCGCAAGTTGTTGGTGGAGTTTGGCTAAAACAGATATTTTCAACATGTTTTTAAAAAAGCTAGGAAGTGAGAAACTGCCTACTGGGTACCGGCTTCTAAGGACCGCTGCCAGGAGAAACCGCCCCGCGGCCTCCACTTGCTCTAGAAAATAAACGGCCGCAAAACACTCTCGGACCTAGTATTAAAAAATCCTTCCTCTTTTGGAATGTCTGTCCCCAAACAGCATTCGCTCCCCTTGCAGCACACCAAGCGTCTGCCAGACGCACCTGGGACCAGTCAGAAAGGCTCCCCATGCCCAGCCCGGCCAGCGCGGGGCCTGTCTCCTACGCTGTGTGACAGGACGGACGCTCTCCCTGCGCCCCGTGCCCTCGCTTGCAAGTTATCAAGAACCTCACCTCTGACGAAGGCGGGTCTCTATCTTCTCGAGCTGCTCATCTTTTGTAATGTATACAAGACAAAACCTTTCTAAGAGGCTTGATTCTTGTCAGATCTTTAACCCGCTATTTCTTTCTGTAACATGTAAACCTAGAAAACAGTGTTTAATTTGGTTGCAATTCAAACTCCACGGTAATTCTCACTGAACCTCAGAACCTCTAACTCCGAGCCGACCAGACGCCACTCCAGCTGCCTGTCTTCCTGGGGGCCTCTGGGAGAGGCGGTTATCACTCTAATGGTGCGTTATTTTTCTATTCCTGCCCTCCCCTGAAGTTTGAAATATCCCAAAATAAAAAATAGCTAAAACGAAGATCAAAAAAAGACCATTTTAAATAATAAGTGCAAGAATTCGTTGTCAACGAGCGGTAACAGGCGAATGAAGAAAACCGCTGGGACACACACCACCCCGCTCTACGTACAGAAACAGGGAAAAGAGGGTATTTCGATGAAAAGGAAACTCCTGCCCTAGAACACGCACACACAGCAACACCACCCTCTTCAGAGCAGTGGCTCACTGTCCCTCCCGCTGCCACCGCCCGCCCCCTGCCAGCCTCCCAGGGTCTCACCTCTCGGAATTTAGTGAAGACACGGTCACTCTGGTAAGCGCCAATCGTGGTTTCTGGGAGGAAGATGGGGATGGTTGTGTAATTCAGCACAGCCAACTTATCCTGAACCCTAAAAAACAAGACAAATACGGATCACACCAACCTGTCAAAATAAACATAAGTTTAAGTCTGATTTTCTAAAAAAAAAAAAACCTAAATAAAAAATTCACACATTCAAATAAATGCTGTTCACTGCTAAGCAGTCATCTCAGAAGCAGAGCCTTCATCCCAAAGGCCATTTGGTCTATTTGGAGCTGCTTTTTTGAAACTCCTTTCCGAACCGAGCTAGAGTGTTTTAAAAGTCTCATTGCCTACCGTTGACACAACCCTTTGGGAATGAATATCGCTTTGGGAACACAGAAAAGGTGTCAAGTGTGCTTTAAGCATTGGCAGAGCAGGCATGAGAAGCTACAAACAGCCACATCAGAGCCACTGAACACCTGCAAGAGTAATCAATCCGAAGAGACCAAACAGCGAGTAAGTGCCTAAGAGCTCGGGGTGCAGGCCAGGACCCTGCTGCTCTGCTCCAAACGCTGAGTCTGCCTGAAGGACGGCACTGACAGAGGCCCGGGACAGTCAGCTGGACCCCCCTCGGCCACGGTCCCCTCTCTGCCGTCCCTGGTACCCGCAAACACAGATCATGGGATACTCTTCTTATTCCACCATTGCCATCTGCTGAATGCTAAAATATTTATACTTTGTTACAATTTGCTTATTACATTTTAAATTAAATTTAGTCAGAATATAACCATTATACTTAAAGATGAAAGGCATTTTCTGAGGTTTTAGGGAAAAAAAACATTAAAAAAAAGCCTCCTTTCTTAAGGGCTCAAACCAAAGAGAATAATTATTTTAAATGGCCACTTGCCCATTAATGAGTTATAAAAGCAGGAGACGTTTCTTGTTTGTGATGGCGCAAATGGAAATTCTGTGAATGTACCTGGCTCTCGGCCAGGCTCTGTGAGTGAGGACAGGCCCACGACGCGAACCCAAGGCCTGCTCCCCACAGCACCTGCCACGCACAGAACCACCCAGGGAAACTCGAGGCTCCTGGGGCCCACGGATCGCACTCCCACGGACAACCACAGGGACCTGAGGACCTGCGACAGGTGGCAGAGCGGGCGGAAGGTAAGGCGAGCCATGAGTTTCCCACTAAAAACCACGTCACTCACACACGGTTAATGACCCAATGACCCAAACAGTATTCCAAGAAACTGCTGCCAGGCTAATTGTGTTTGTTTTCCCGAGTGTATTTATGTGAGTTTCCACACGGTTAGGCAAACGGCTGTCATGTACATACGCAGGGATAGGATTGTTTTCTTAGTTTCAATATGAAGTTGGTTTTACTTGCCCAAAAATATTCAAATATTAAAAAAAAAAAAAATCAAGCAAGCAAATCAGAAAGTCTGTAAAGGGCATAAAGCCGCTGCGTTCTGTGCGGCTGCACTGTCTGCTGTTAGAAGCGCAAGGTGGGCGTCAGCAAATCTCACACACGGAAGTGTGTCGTCCACGTCGCCCCTCCAGGTTTGCGCACGGCTCCCCTTTCCAAAGTGGGAACGCCATTAGCCTTCCTCGCGCGTCTTCCCAAAGCGCCCATGCATGTGCCAACGATGTACGAGTAATGTCTCATTGTTTACACAAACAGAATTATTGTCGGTTATATATGGACAATTTTTTGAAGTTATCTCACAATAAAAATTTCAACTAAAAATGAAGTTCATATTTTAAGTGTTAACAAACATCGAGGTAGGAAGGTGATGTGGCTTTCTCTACAGTTCGGAAAACCTCAGAAAATGCTGGAAAATGTGAAAGAAATCGATGGGCTGGAGCACCTGTGGCCCACAGAGAGCAACAGCGCCACCTATGCACCATCGGTCATAATTACATGGAACCCGGAAAATCTCTAAGCAGGCACACTTCGAACTATTTTTGAAGATTCAAAAGATAATCTGCTGCAACTATTCTACAACTTATTTAAAGTTGATTAAACTGCTCTTTCAATACTGTGAGCTTAAATGATGACTGTTAAGAGCCTATGTGCATTTCCAGTACACCCCCAACACCTTAACCTCTCATGAACTGCAGAGACTGAAGATAAATAAGGAACAAAGACACCAGGAAGCCTTTTATGGCTCAGGAAGCAAAACGCAGAGAAAGAAAACATTCTGTTCACAGAGCACTTAGTTTAATTAAGAAGAAATCAAAACTGACTGAGAATAACATATCCTCTTCATATCATAAGCTAACGTGTCCAAATAAGATAAAATGTTCTAGAGCTTGGTTTACAGTGTGAGGGACACAGCCACATATTTCAAAACAAGAGGCAGGAAAACAAACAAACAAAAAAATAAAATGGTAAATTATGTTTTATGACTTAAAACTGTTTCCCAATTAACAAAACATCTACACTCTCTCCTAAAACACTTCCAAAGTTCTGTTGCAACACTATACCTACACCAAACAAACAAGCTAGAGCACATTTCTATAGCACTAAAATTTCACATTAAAAAGATGTTTCTCCAGGAGTTACATAAAGCGTCTCAGTAATGAAGCAAGAGGATGCACGAAGCCCTAAGAGCTGAGGAGGCAGGGAAGGGGGGTCAGAGGCCTGGTAACTGGACTGACGCCAACCGAGCAGGCGCCGTCGGTAAGGAACTACTGTGGCTGGGAACACAAACGCTGTCAAGACGGAGAAGTGCAATTACTGCCTCTCCGTGTAAGCACATATACACACACAACGTAATTATACACTGCCACACGTAACCGAGACGGCACAAAAATGCTCTAAACCAATAATCTGGTCAGGTTCTGGACAAAATGAGTATAATCGACAAATGGCATGTTTACAATAATTATCTTAGAAAATTGGTCATAATTTTCATTTGAGTCCTCCAAATGGAGAAATGTTATTCACATGAAGATAAACACAGTTGCCATTGTAAACTGTTATGAAACACCCATGGGGAGGAAGAGGAGCAAAATGTCAGGAGCAGGAAAGAACAAAAGCATTTATAGTAAACCGAAACAATTAATTGGCACAATTTCTAAACTTTGAGGGAATTACAGAATCCTTCTCTGTGCTCTGATAACCAAAAAGCTAAATAACTACTAAAATCATGACTTTAAGATGTGAATTTTGAACATGGTATAGAATAAAATCAACACACATTTCAGATGTTCAGAAAATGACAGTGTATCCCAGCGGGAGGTCAGCAAGTCACACACACGGCCTTGACTCGGTGATTCACGGGACGCCACGCTCTGCCCAGCAGGAGCTGACACTACAAACGATCACGTGTACATCCATATCAATAACGGCCTAGTAGAGTTAAGAGAAGGTTTTTGAGGGGAAAAAAAGAAAGGTGACTACAGCCAGGCTTTAACATCTGCTGCGATTTGCAGGTTAACTCTTGGGCAGGTGAGGGCAGAAGGGACCAGGGAGAGGGCTAGGATCCTGGCAAAAGAGGCAGAACCAGGCAGGCGACCAGGATTCTGGATTAATTCTGGGAAACAGAATTTGAGCCTATGACTAAACAAAGATAAACCACTGAAGAATTCTAATAAAGAGAAAACAGGGTCACTGTGACCCTTCTTAAAATAAACCTGGTGGCTAGTGGGGGAGGAGTGAAGAAATATCTCAGTGGAAAAATGGAGGCAGAACGAGGGAACAAAACCCCGATGGCAGCAGGAACAGGGAAGAGGTGAGGGAGGAACCACTGAAAATGGAACATGCAACCTTCAGGGTGGACCCAGGCAGGGCACAGGGGCAGTGGGGAAAGGAGGGTCCAGCTAGGACCACGGGTGACAGGCGGGTCGAGATCCCACCGGGACTCAGCCCGCATGGTGGCAGGAGGGAACGCTAGGTGGCCCGCTGCACGGGACCACAGAGAAGGCACAGGGGACCAGAAGCTCTACCAGTTTGAGAGGACAGGTCCTGCACACAGCTGTCACGCGGCCTTGGCAGGGCAGAGCTCTGAGCCGTGGTTTCATTACCTGTAAAATAAGGTATCCCTCCTGCGCCCTTACCCCCCGCCCCTTCGTAAAAGTGGAGCACAGAAAACATTTCCAAACACCTTTCAGGTATGAGGTCAACACTTAAACTGTCAACTACGAGGTTTCAGATGTAAAGGTGGGACACGGTAACGCAGTTGAGAGATGGGATGGAGGTCTGCTCTAAGCAAGGTTCTGATGACAGAGTAAGGACTGACAGGTGTGGTGGTGACACCTGTAATCCCAGCTACTTAGGAGGCAAAGGCAAGAGGACTGCTTGAGCCCAGGAGTTTGAGACCAGCCTGGGCAACACAGCAAGATCCCATCTCAAAAAGAAAAAGAAAATCAGTAAAGATATGGACAACCTGAACACCACCATCAACCAGCTTGATTTAACTGACATTTCTAGAACACTCCATACAACAGCAGAATCTATAGCCTTCTTAAGCTCAACATCAACATTAATCAGGACAGAAAACATTCTTGGCTGTATAAAACACTATAATAACCCTAAAAGGAGAGAAGTTGTATGCAGTATGTTCTCAGACCACACACGACACAGCTCGACATACTCAGAGATTCATGAACACACACACACCTGAAGACAGACCAGCAGAGCCTGGGTGAGCTGTTGGCTGCCCCTGGCTCCCCGCAGCAGAATCGCAGGCTGCTCCATCTCACTGGCTTCTGCTCCCATTTCTATGGTAAGTGGCTGTGCCTCTGACCTCTAGTCCCCCGTGTGCTCTGTCACTTCCGTTTCCTCACCCCCTCTGCAGACTAAATTCCGTGGCTCGTCCTTACCGTGCGCCCTCTTGCCCTCTCTCGTACTCACGTGGCAAAACCCAGTCTCATGGAAACCCGAGGCTCCGCTGTGGTGCAGAGCCACGTTCCTGGGTTCGGCTCTGCCCTCCCCACTGGAAGCCGCCGCAGGCCTGCAGGAAGCCTTTCCCTGGTCACACGCAGAGCAGCCCACGCTCCTGCCCTTGGCTTTGGCAGGTCCTCCATGGAGGCCGGCCCTGGGCTGGTTTCTGGGCGCTCTGAGAAGCGCCCCGTGCTGACCAGGCTGGGCGGGGACCCCTG